AAAAAAAACATATTAATGAATAATAAACAGTGGAAAGAGCGGAGAAGGCTTCACAGCGTAAACGTTATTTTTGCCTGTGTGGAATTAACCACCTCATACTTTTCAACCTGTACGCCGACGTCGCTCACCTCTCGATCAATCCTTAACAATTTACAAACCGTTGTTTCTTGGCACGACGTGAGCTATTATTAAAGAGGAAAAGTACTCTTCTGACATGATTACACTTAATGTTTGCATGCAGTTCTATATTTGGTATTTCCGGTGGAAAAAGGCGGTATGTAGCCGGATTTATGTAAAGTGTTTCTCTTCCAGGTGTTGGCTCTTAGTCATAGCAACTCGCACCCAGGCGGACCTTCCTCGTGTTTCACGTGCGTGTCTGACGAAAAGAAGGTGTGGACGTGCTCCTTGAGGTGCCGGACAGAGCAAACGGTGGAGTAAGGGCTGCACTGACTGCGACTTGAGTAACTTTTCTGTGCTGAACAACGCACACATCCCTGTCTGGCGCGTTCCTCTGCTGTGACGTTACTGCTGGGTGCAGTGATGAGGACGGACTTCGGACCTCATTTGCCGCAGAAACAAGGAAGCGAGACAGCGAACTGTTATATCGCAAGCAACGCAAGATTTTTTTTTTCCCGAACCATATTTTCGAGTAAATAAGGACTTTAAAATGACCGGGGTCTGCACCACTGCAATCAAGTGCCGATATAGAAAAAAAAGGTTTGTCCTAAATGAATGAGTCTTTTGCCTGGATACTGCCATCTCTCGTCGGGAAACGTTAGTGCCGGAGAGAGACGGATGGGAGGTATACTGTATGTAGGTTAATTTTTGCTGGAAAGGCGCGATTGGGTGCTGACATTTAACAATCGTTTGTTTCTTTGGTACAACTTAAGCAATCGTTTGAAAACATCAAGATGGATAATTTATTTAGTTGTTCTAATTTCGAAAATATAGTTCTATTGGGTAGTTGTTTAATTCATTCTAAAAACAAAAATGGCGACCGGACAGTTCCCTGACGGGTCTCTCAGATATGGAAACTGTTTTATTTCATTATTTGTACGGAAACATCCTGGATTAAAGCAAAACAGGCGCATTCAATTAAGATTTGTTTTAAATAACAGATTTTATTTATCGATATGAAAAAAAAGTCAGTGTATTTAAGGTTTTGATCTGTGAACTGATATTTTAGTTTACAGCAAACAGCAAAGAGAGTTTACCAGAAACAAAAGGTCAAAATTCGACTCCGCCGGGACTCGAACCCGGAACCTTTGAATCACTTCACGCCTCTAGAAGTCCAATGCGCTATCCATTGCGCCACGGAGCCACCTGTTGGACGCACGCGAGCAGTAGGTCTAAGAAGGCATGATCAGTTTCGTACGTGCCGCTCAATTGATTAAAGAATATAAAAATAGGCACCACGCAGATACGACCTGCAGTTATGATGTAAATTAGATTCAGTTCTTATTTGCCAAACATTCTGCTGATTTGTGATACTATGTGATTCTAAACTGAAAACCGAAAACCTTTTTAAAAATATGGCAGAAAGAGTTAACAACGGTAATAACATTAATATAAGGAGTGCAGTGTAGGTCTAGTATTGTGAAAGGTCTGATACATTTGTCTTGAGTCGACAAGAGAATGGATGACCCCGATTTAAGAACATCTGTATGGACCGTTTTTACCACATGGCGTCACTATTGTGCAGGACTTGAATGTCACTAAGCTTTCTGACCCGATCTGGGAAAACAATAAGCGTTCATTTTTCTGTAAGATATTTCAACTTGAGTGAGTTTGGATGGAGTGTCCTCTTTACCTAAATAGCTTCTGAACTGGAATATATATTTTAGCCACGTATCATAATTTTGAATCTGTTCAGAATACTTGGAAATTCTCTTGAGTGTAGCCCCAAACTGTATTTTTCATCTTTGGGATAAATAAAAATGTTAAATCTTCCAAGAAAATGTCTGTTTGTATTTTAAGCTTGTTTAAATGTGGCTATTCTCAAGGGGTTAAAAGCACAAGAAATGCAAATGAAAGGGATTGCAGTGTTAAATGCTTACATTTAATACATACAGTAATTCAGAGGTCTGTTGGGTTTTCCATTTCCAAAGCCATTAAGTAATTCAGCTGAAAACAGACATGAAGACATTAAAAAGGGGATTCAGAAAACAGATATGCATATTCTCATGGCCCATGACATTGGAACCCTGAACGCTGGACCAAGATGGCCTACACAATAAATCTCTGCTGCATTACTCAGGTATCCATGGTGACAGACCCAGGAAAGCAGGGTACACTGGGCTGCACAGAGCAAGATCTCTTACAATCAGTAGCCAGGGATGGGGGGTGTTGGGCAACTATTAGCCCTGGGACCCCAAGAGATTTATTTTCTCCCAAGTTTTTGTTTTCCTCAAGGTCATCTGCTATTATATTGTTAACTGTAAATACTCATCTGTGTCAAACTTTAGTGCAGGGTGCCATGGCAAATATATTGACTGAGGTTAAGATCTGTTTCTGAGCCTCGCAGACTCTCTTCAGTAACAGAGTGATACACACACATACAGTATATATAAGAAACAAGTATAAAGGTTTATTCCATGCTGAAAGGAGAAGAAAAGAAACACAACGTTTCGGCTGTGGAGCCTTTTGCGGATATCAGACTCCACAGTCGAAACGCTGTGTTTCTTTGGATCTCTTTCAGCATGGATTAAACTTTGATTTGTTCTTTTGTAGCCTACGCATGCTGACACAGCTACCTACTTGAACCACATATATATAATAGTATTCGGGAAGTGCGTATTCTAGTAATCTCCCATTTCATACTTGATGAAGAATTTAGAGTACATTCGTAGATTCTTCACTACATATAGAGAACACCGATACACAATAAGCTGAAAACAAAGCAACAGCTTTGTCATTTCAAAAGTGCAAACTTGCAGGTGGTTGTAATTCCATTAAATGCTCGTTCAGGTCTGCCATATCCAAGTGATAGAGGTATACCTAGACCTAAAAGTAATTTAAGCACTCAGAAATGCCCATTGCAAATTAACATCTGTTTGCATGCTCAAAAAGGTATGATTGATTAGCAGATATTTTCATATGTTTCAAAAAATTATCTTTGGTAAGTTTTAGTACAGGACCTCAGGATGTCTTGTACAGGCTCATGCACCACTGAAGATCATGTACCACTCTGAATGATATTCGGGTTCAGATTGCCATATACAGTGATATCTGGACGTAAGTTTTTCGAAATCATTCTCCGTGCATTTAACTGAAAAGAATAGTATATGTTACAACAAAATCACATTTTTAATGAAGTTTAGTAGTTTAATAAGACAAGTGACAGTTAATCGAAAAGGAAGAGGAAGAGTGCATTAGCAGGTGTGTTTTTCTATAGGAAATTTATTTTCTGATCTCAGCCTGCAAAGTCGTCAACTTTGCTGTGTTGCAGTTTTCCAGTTGTGTGTCTTTCTGTCTGCCACGGCCTGCTTTGATCTTGCAGTGTTTTGAGTTGGAATGCTTGAAGGCATGCACAAAAGAAACAGCTTTAGGAGATACTAAAGTACTATGAATCACCAGCCTTGTGTAATGGTTTTCAGAAAACCATTCTAAGCAGAAGTAATTGCAAAGCTAGATGATGCCCCTGACTTGCTGTCTTTCACGGATTTAATCTGAGGATATGAGTCAGTAACCTAGGTGTGTGTTAATGTTTTAGATGAGAGGGGAGTGTAATGTCAATCTTAAACAGTACCTCTGCACTGATTTGCACTTTGTTTTTTGTTCAACAGTAGCAAGAACATGACTAATTCCAAGAAACCCAGCCAAAATTTACTGGAACATTTTTTTCTTTGAAATAAATTCCCCTCAAGATGTAATGTATTTGTGGTATACAAGGTGTTCCCACTTGAATTGTAGGTATGTTCTCAAACTCTAAACTGTTTTAAAAACTCAACTTGCTTCTCTGCTTCTTTATTTTTCCCCCCTTTAAACAGGATTGATTTATAAGTTGTGTCTAAATAAATCCTGGAATGAAGTTTGCACTGAGTAAACAGAAGTCAGTTTCTCTGCCTCTCAAGTTTGAAGTCCCTTAAAGTAAAACAAAACGATGTGACTGATTTCATTTTTGGACCACGCGTAACTTTTATTGTTGGTTGTTTTATGCTTTGTCACCTTCTTCTTCTTTGTGCTCCCAGATATCTTGCCAGGATTCTCACAAAGCCGAACAACTGAAGCAGTGTAGTCAGGCGTCTGTGTAATTTGTTTTCTTTCTCAAATTAAGGAAATAAAGGCAATCGTCTGTACCGTCAATGTGATTGCTCTCTGAGTAGCAGCTAGATGAAGAAAAAGTGAATTACCAGCCAGAGTGCCACAGGCTAAAACAGCATTTAGATAAAATCGACTCTACTTTTTAAAAAATGTTCTCTTTTTTGTACTTATGCACATACTGTATGAATAAATCTCTGTATCTCAGCTCAGGAATTACCTATAATAATCTAAAGTAGGTTCTGAACATTGTGATCACAATTGCAATGTCTGAGTCTTATTGAATCTTGGTATGTTCAAGATCTAGACATGAGTATAGAGATGTCTCATCTCCTTATTGTTTTGGATTCACTGCTGTGTTGCCTTACGCCCTTTCCTGACACACAAACTCAATTGATGGGTGGAGGATACATAAGCAGGAAAGAAGACTCATTTAGGATGATGTGCCAGGGCAGGGTTTCAATGTACCAGCTCTGCATTTCATTTCTGGACAGCTGGCGTTGAGCAAAGTAACTGGAACTTCCACTTGATACGTCAGGAGTGTCCGATGGGCCCTTATCAGTACAAATGATTATATGTTCCGACAACAGATACTTCTGTGGAGACGCCACTTCTGTAAAGACTGGGTCCTCATCTCTCCTCAGGCAAAGAGCATCACTGCATCACAAATCGGCTGTAGCCTGGCAAATCTTCCGACACAATTTAAACACAACAAGAGCAAGTGTAAGATGTCCTTAACAAAACCCTGCAAGAAGACGGTTTTTGTTTCAAACCAAATTATCCATGTACAGTTGGATGCGAAAGTTTGGGCACAGGTCAAATCCCACGTTTCACAGAATCTCTTAAGTGAAAAGAAATTAACACAGTCTCTGGAGGGTACAAAGGTACACATGACATATTTCTGCACATCTTAACGCACAATTTCTATTTGCTGAGTTTAACAGATTGAAAAAA